AGATTTTTATTAGCGATCATTCGTGTCTAGGAGCAGTGTACGTAGTTATTTCTACTTCTTGCAAACATCGGTATGATCAGCATTATTACGGGTAATTAAAAGCTATCGATTTCTGTAGATTCTGTGTCTGTGTCATGAGTAAAGCACTTGCTCATACACCAAGTCAATAGCAGCAAACGTTTCATAAGTCATATCCTAGTCAGCCAAGCTCACTCGATCAAAGTTCATCGTAAGAAAGCCGTAAATACCAGGAACTTCAAAATCGAGAGCTATGAAGTCGGCCGAACACGGGTCCAAACAACTGTTACAACTCGATGTCGAAATGCTAACATTGACAGAAGAATAGGTAAGGGAAAAATTAATATACTGACACACAAATTCAGTATTTTCTGTCTCACTAACTTATTAGTGGCTCGTGAAAGCTGGTGCGCTCTTTGGTGGACCAAAAGCTTTTGACAAAGTTCCGCACAACCGGCTGTTATATAAGTTAAGAAATGTCGGGATTGGAGGCAATCTATTTATGTGGATAAAAGACTTCCTAGTTGGGCGTCAACAAAGAGTTCGAGTGAACTCAAAATTATCTAGCTGGGGAACTGTGCTTAGTGGAGTGCCCCAGGACAGCTTTTGGGCCAGTGCTATTCCTCTTGTGTGTAAATGACCTTCCTCGTCTCCTATCATCATCGGTCTTGCTATATGCTGACGATGTCAAGATATGGAGAACGGTACGATGTGAGGGTGATAGCCTAGAACTCCAAAATGACCTGAAGAAAATATCTGAGTGATCTCAGACCTGGCAGTTGCCGATAAGTACTTCCAAGTGTTCGTGATGCATATCGGTCATCAAGGTACAGATACATACACGATGAATAACAATGAGCTACCTGTCGTCCAGACATATAGTGACTTAGGAGTTATCGTTAGTCAAGACTTAAAGACTACTGCACACTGCTGTGCAACAGCCGCCAAAGGTTTTAGAACGTTATGGTCAATACGTAGAGCTTTTAGTCATGTCGACGCTAAAACGTTTTTGACTTTGTATACAGTGTTCGTACGTCCCAAACTTCGTTACTGCATACAAGCGGCCAGCCCCTGCTTAAAAAAAGACAGTGAGCTTCTGGAAAAGGTTCAGAGAACGGCAACTAAGCCGATCCCCAGAATAGCGGAGCTTCCGTATGAAGCTCGACTGGCCAAGCTGAACCTTTTCCCGTTGTCTTATCGCAGAATTAGAGGCGACATAATTACAGTTTTCCAATTGCTTAGTGCCAAATTTGCATCTGATATGCCCTCATTTTTCTTGTCTTCCAAAACAGAGAATTTACGAGAACACTCCGAGAAAGTTCTCAAGCCAAGAACAAATTACTTGTCAGCTGACTATCGACTTTCCCATCGAATCATCAACGAGTGTAACTCATTTCCTCAGCACGTGGTTGAGACTCCATCCGTCGATTCTTTCAAAAGAAAGTTGGATCAACTGAGGGACCATCATTGCCAGGACTAACACAGGCCATCGGGCCTCCTGTTCTTCCCAAACTGAAACTGAAACTACAATAGAGGACCGTATTTCTTCCTTCTTGGTGACGCTCACATTTATATTCAACAAACATTGTTTGTTTGCATTGATCGTATCGAACATGACCGGATAAAATCAACTTGTTGATTGGTATCTGCGCTACTTTATATGTTCAAATAAACACTACACACGTCATTCACCTTTATACTTTATTGGACACGGCCTGTGATTGAAGATTATAGTGGCGTTGTGTTTTCTATTTAGGCCATCAGCAAAAACCCAATGGGGGAGATAGCAAATTGACTTCCAGCTGGAGAAGAAATCAGGGAAAGACGTTGTAAGTAGATCGGACATACATTGAGGAAATCATCAAACTGCATCGCGCAGCAAGCGCTAACTTGAAATCCTGAAGGGAAATGAAAAAGAGGAAGGTCAAATTACACACTGCATCGTTAATTGGAAGCAGAAGTTAAAAGAATGAGTAGCCACTGGAAAGGATTGTATAGGAGAGAGTTGGATGGAGAATGCTGATGGGCGGCCTACGCATCTCCATGATGGGCAACGGGCGTAAGTATGCAAGTAAAGATACCGAATTCTTCGTCAATGTCCCTGTTCTAAATGAATCACAAGTTAAACAGATTTTAGTCAACTCAGAATCCTTATAGATCCTCTGTGTGATTGCTTCTCGCCTGGCCTAGCTCATTTAATCTGGAACACAAACATCAGCACCTGATATATGAATCTTCATTTATATCACATCGTAAAACAGAAAATAACAATTATACGGGATCAAGCCGAAATTGGCTGAATGCGAGGGACTGTAACTTATAAATTGGAGATAATTTAAGGATATTAAATCGTGTAACAATATCCAACAGGTCGGATGAAAGTTTGTGATACAAAGGAATAATGATGTATGTAGTCTGGTTACCTACTAATTATCCTGTTAGAATATATTTCATGATAGTCCATGAACAATCCCTAACAATTATCATTCATTTATACTTCGTTTGATTACAGCACCCGCAAAAACGACAACGAATGTAACACGTACGCCGTCATGGACTGCAACAGTGCGGATAACCATTCCCGCTTCCTCTTGTTTGGTTGCTTAGTTTAAGACGCAAATGGGAATTCAGCTTATCCTCAGCCACGAATTCTCCCCCCTGAAACCTGAAGGTTTGTCGGAATCACTGTCAGAACGATATATGCGGGTAGATTTGTAGTGTGGGGTCGAGTGACGGTCGACGATGATCACCACTACAGGAAGACTGCGTGGTAGTTAACCAATAAGACATCCCGTAGGCCAAATATCAGAAGTCAGTTGATGGCTGTAGTCGAGATGTAATTGTTGGCGATCTCGTGGTATCGAAATACCGAAATCGTGCGAAAGGAGTACAAGTGTGGTTACAGAGCGTAACCGAACTCGTGCAAGGTCATAATCAACAGAAGGAGGAATGTCTTTAGTACAGTTAAACAAACAAATACAGTAAAACTACCCGTGGTACAATTGGTTATAATAATAATTGCTTCCATCAAACCAATCGTGTTCTCTTGATAAAAGTAGGTCACTACAGATTAGTCGTAATTTACGAAATAATGTTTGGTATCTGAACTGACATTTGGTTATCTTTTATTTGGGTTCAGTGTTTACCCTCGTGAGATTTTGGGGGAGATAAACGTGTTAATTTCGGGACATTTCCTCTCACAGGGTACATTTCGGGAAAAACAATGCACTATATACCCCGGGTTGAGGAAAAAGGTGATATTTCGATACACTGTTGCCTGTATTCGCATCAAGTCTCACTGTGGACTTTCCTCAATATCTACCACTATTTCCTCTTTTTAGTTTGCGTTGGTGTCAACCGACTACACCTCAATAACAGATCAGAGTAATATTTTGTATTAACACTTGGTAATAAACAGTCAATATTGCGTCGTCTGTATATCAGCAATAGTCATAGAACTTTTGCTTTGAGGAAGAAGAGGACCATGTTATATATGGAGGCTCCCGAAACAAGACGGAAATCAAAAGTTCATCAAATTAGTCTCGATAGGAAACTATAGTCAAATCCGAAACGTGTTTTTTTTGTCACGGGGAAAGATGTTATCCTTGGGGCCTCTTCTGCAGTACCTCAAGACAGAACTATTGTTAGCATCTCAGTCACTTAAGGCATTAATGATGTCGACAAAAAATTGAGCCAGCAGGTATAACGTACCACTATCAAAGACCATAGGTAGGCGTAAGACCAAGATAACCTCTAGGTCGGTGCTAAAACAGTAAAAGAAATATATGCCGAACGAACCGTCAAACTTTGATATCATGGTCCAAAAATGTAATCTACATATGGAACTCATGCCAAAGTTCGATGCCAATGCACTTATCTATGTAACAAACTTATAGCTAGAGTATAGTTGACTCGCCATGATATAACTGCTTAATCTACCTGATCATATATCGAATCCACATTACTGTCCAAACTGGCGTAATGTGTCAGTCAGACGTATCGCTTATAAAAACCTCTTATGATAACATTAAGGTTGGTGATAGAACTTGCTTGTATGGAGAGGAGATAATTGCAACGACTGTATATTCACAACCAAGCCAAGTAGTCTCTATCATAACTCCGCGTTGATTTGACCAGTCGTTGATGATCATACCATCACCTAGTACTCAACAACGATTTCACTTACTGATATTGATTAAAATTTTCAACATACGTCCAATATGTAAACAATTTTCTCACTTAAAAGCGCTTAGATATGATGTAATTATCCTGGAGAATTCAGAGTTAAATGTGCGACTATTTTGTTAGTGGGGTCAAAAAAATCTTAAGACCATGCACTTGCCACGTGAATCACGTACGTGACCAGGCTCCGGATAACCAGCACATTTCGTCTAATAAGCAATTAAAGCTCCCATATTTGATAAACGCCATGAATTGAAATATGAGTTATTTTTAGTAAATAACCTTTTTTGTCCCATTTTGGTTTTTATATATCAAATACGAAGACCTCTTTCAACTGACTGCCTGGATACGGTGAACCAACTGAAGACGCAAGTCCTCTGACAATCATTTTATCATAACTTTGAACTCGTCAGCAACGAGTACCCACAATGTTATATACCTCTGAATCCTACTGCAGCAAACTAGTTTCCGATTAAGGATGGGGTTTTGACTCTATCCCGAAATGAAACGGCGTTAGTATTCAGGATCAGATTACTAGCGTTGAATCTGAAAACTGAAAGATACGAAACTCAGATCAGATGAATCTCAGTAACCTAGTTCTCTTCATGCTCTGACAACAACTAGTTTTTAATATCCGCCGAACAAAACTCTAATGATTTCTCACGTCAGTAGAAGCAGGGATTTCAAAAAGCTTTACGAAGTATCTCTTTGTATATATAGGACAAGCAAACAACGGTAAATGTAATATCTATAAGGGAATATAAAACCATCCCTCTGTTTTATATCACAAAGAAAACTTTGAAATACAAAAATTCATTTCTATATACAGTTAATCACATGCACACACAAGTAACGAAAGTAGTACAGATATGAAACAGAAGAAACCAAAGAAATGAATAAAAAAGACCTTAGTAGTAGGTTGGTTGGATGTCACTTAAGAATCTTTTTTCTTTCGTTTGTTGTGATTTTATTTGTACAGATGTGTTGTCTTTTCGCTTTCTTAATTCAATTTGATCAAGCCAGTTGCGCAATGACTCTTTCAATTCTAAGAGAAAAAAATGACAACAACATTGGCGATTTACTCAGCAAGTTATTAAAACCATGAAGCAATCTATGTTGTACAATCACTGAACATATGGAAGCAATGGATAACGTTTTCTTTCTAGTTCGAAAATCTTCAGCAGTCCACACCCACAATCGTACCTGGGAGTGAACAGAGGATCTTTAGGTCTCTCAGCGAACGCTTGACTCTTAATCAACTAGTTTAGTATCCAATAGTTTATTTCTCGAGCTTCAGTGAGCTCGTGAAATTCCACGAACATTAATCTAATGCCATTGGCAGATAACTGCCTCACATTCTACAAGACTGTACTTTACTGGTCATGGCTTCTAACTAGAAGCAGGTTTTCTACTTTCTTTGACTTATGAAACAAGGTTTACAAGATGAATAGTTGAAAATGTGCACGTATAGTTTGGCATACTGTCTTCAAATGTTTTATACAAATTGTCGTACTGTACCGAACGGACATATAAATTAGGATGGATTTTTGTGATGATATATTTCTTATACTCATTTAGTTATTCTATCCATTTCTTAATCACTTGACAATATTTACCAATAAGATGCCGGTTTACAATTATCCACAGTAAGTATACTTTTTCATTTACACACCAACATCTTAAGCTTTGAACAGTGACACGTTCAACCGACAAAAGTAAACCTTGAACAGTCACCAAATCATGTAAACACCTAAAACATCAGAACGCGTCTTCTTCAAATCCCAGGATTCATTCCGGTCATATAACAAGGTAGCAGACAGCCATTTTTCCAAAAACCATTCTTTACACAAAATCAGGTTGTAGGTGATAGAAAATGGAGCAGTAGGTGGATAATTAACAAGTAATAAATAGGGAGTAGTAAAACTCAGTCAGTGACTGACTGACTGAGTAAAGCAGATAACATCAGTTAGAGAGTCTATGAAAGCTTACAATACGGGTAAAACACATCTGGAAATATTCGAGTTTATGAGATGATCACGTAATAAAAGTATAAACAACAATAGTAATCTGTGAATTAGTTTTAAAAGTTACCGCTTCCCTAATATTCGTTTCGTCAAAACAGTATTTTCTTCGAACTCGACTATTGATTGACGAAGCCTTCATCGGTATGTAACGCAATAATGCTTGTGTCAACTTTAACTAAGAAGTGAACTAGGAGAATTACTGATATAACTTAGTAATTTGTTTAAGTGACACGGTATGATTTTGATAAGTCGTTATCTTTTTATAGTTTGCATATACATTTCACTAGGTTTTTTAATATCCAGTATCTTTGTGACAAGCTGGCGTGGAGCAGTCGATATTTTTTTGCATTCGCTTCCTGATGATGAAGTACAATTTCAGGTCATTAGCATCAATGATATCGAAATTGATCTCTCTTTCTTCATGTTTGATAACAGAAGAGAATTTATGTTGAAACTTCTACTAACTACAGTAATTGACTTCCATATGCAGTTACCTAAGAATATGTAGACATTTACCAAGTTATCGGTGAATTAAAGATACTAACGTTTGACGATATTAACATATTTCATCATTTCAATAAACTTGTTGTGGATCATTCCATTTTTTTATTAACCAGAACTTGTTAATAATTTTTAAGTGGGATTTCAAACAGACTTGTTGTTCGACTGAGTCACCAAATGCAAGATACCAATAATACAAACTGTATTGAGATAATTTACAGACTGGGAGTAAATGTTGTACAAATCATACAGTCAGTTATTTACAATCGACAAATCATAAGTACGTATAACCATCAAACGATATAATAAACTGACAATTCATAAGCTAATCAAAATTTAGTTTATATGTTATACATCAATGCTGTGACTTTTAGAAGATAGTCGGAATAAAAACAAAACAAGCCATTTGACCAACATTAAGTGTACGAAATTTGATGACAATAATGAATTTCTAATAAGATATAAAGCAATTTTAATCAAATAGTTTAATGGAAGACAAAGAGTGTATACATCTACGCCATTGTGATCGATTATGAGCCATACCACCCATTCTCCAACCAATGGTTATGATGGTCACGAGAACCCCAACCAAGTAGTATACATCTACTAACATGGCTCAGACTAGAAGTTAGTGACTTCAAGCACTGATGCCACGTTTTGGTTTGACCGCCCCTAACTTTCTTCCAACCATCCCGAACACCGGTTAGCATTGCACGTCGTGGTAGTCGGTGTTTAGGCATACGCAACACATGGCCCAACCATCTTAGTCGATGAAAATTTACGACCCCATCAACTGATTTACCATAATTCCCTAATATCATGTGTCTAAGTTCACTATTACTGACCCGGTGATCCCAGAAGATACGACCTATATTTCTAAAGCATCTGTGGTCAAATACTAGTAGCTTACGAGTATCTTCTACACTTAATGGCCACGTTTCACAGCCGTGGTGTAGGACAGAACGAACAGACTATATACAACAAAGGATTTTGAAGTACCAAGAATTAGTGCATTATGTCAATAACGACTTAGTTGCTTCACATAAAAATTTACTGCAAATAGTAATAGTAATATAGAATAATCCAATCAGTCGATGAGATTTAAACTTACCTGGAATATTTGTGTGACGCAAAGCAGAGACTAGTTCGATCGATTCAAATTTGGGTGTCAGACTAGGTAACAACTTTGGAGGAAGTTGTGAATGTTGTTTTGCTTCAGATGAATCCATACGTTCAAGCCAATATTTTGTTTCTAAAGCTTCATCCATTGCACCGGTAGTATCAATCTAGGGATGTAAGAATGTCACGTAATGATCACACACTTGGTTAATGACAGTAATAACTGTAAGGTGATGACAAACAAGTATTTATTATTTGCAATAAAACTGTTTAACACAACAAACGCTAGAAAATTTGTTTATTTAACCGAATAAGCATACGTTTAAAACTTTGCACTTCCTTCCAACAGCTATGACGCCACTGCCGTTGTGTGGCGAAAAGTGGTTTATCACAATCCATTCATTCGATCGTAAATACTTCTAGTCATTTTAATGATGGGTATATCATGTGGTAACATGTACATGAATAATGACGCTTCAATTCGGAAGAATGTGTGTCGAACAGCTTTATTTTAAAGACAGCAATCTATACACAGTAAAATAAAACCTGTACAATATAAAGACAAATATAATTGTCTAATTAATTAAACTTACTTTATTCAAAATACAAGCCATTGGTTTTTCAAGAAGTAAACCATTAGACCATCGTTCCATTTGATTTAAAACTAAATAAGCAACAGCTAATGCATTACGTCTTGAACTAAATTGATCTTTACAAAATCCAAGTGAATCTAACACAAGAAGTATGCATGAACTACGTTCAACATGTTTTAAAAAGTTCGTATGTCTTAAACTCGGTAAAGATGCCTTTGAATCAGATTGATCATTGTTATTTTGATTTATTTGTGCATCATATTGAGCATAAATATCAGCGAGACCTAGAACAAATAGTGTAAAAAAAGAATAAATCAATAAAAACAGACCGATTATACATAATACAATAAAAATTATAATGGAATGTGAATTTAAAGGGATCGGATATTCTCATCACAAGCAATGACTTACCAGTTGTAGATTACCACATAAAAATTCTTAATGATGTTATGTTTTATCTGCCACCCAAATACCCTGGTACGACCGAGAGTGGGGAGAGTCAGCGCCCCTCTCGAAATGCTCTCACATGGCTATGTGCATACAAACACTGCCAGGGAAGCCCTACTCACTGCCATCTCGCGGCATTATTACTGTTTACGATATTGAGAAGACGAAAAGTGAATGTCCAGCACCTTAACCGGGTTGATGGAAACGAATAGTCCACCTAGGGCAGTTGGAAAACACTCATTTCAAACCAATGGTGTACATGGGCTCTAGTATCATGAGGGAACAAATGGTGTATGAACTAGTCGTTGATCATCGGCTATCATGAGACTACATCTTCTTACGATACTCCACCGCCTTGTGGATCAGACCTTTAGGTCGAAGGCTCCGGGCGTAGCCCCCCTAAGTAAACCATCTGCTTCGGTCTGGGCACACGGTCAGTACCCCAGCCCTCACACAAATTTGATGAGATGATAATTAATTCACAAAGTACTATGGTCGCTCCCACCAGAACTCAGACGTGTAGCGAATATGTATCTAGTGCCCCTTGTACCTATTTTTACGTGTTCAAATAAATAAAATATGTTTTGGGGTAAAAACTACATCCGAGCAAACAGTAAACAATTAGGGTAGAATAAAAAATAAAGTTATATTAGGATACTAATGATAACCACGGTGAACTAGAGCAATGTCTCGTTTTAGTATGAAATTCCTATGAAGCGCGCATCCACTACTGGATACAGGATATTCAGGTTTTACGACAGCATTAATGACCAACTGTACATATTTGCAACCTCAGTGAATTCGTGCTGATAAGAAGCCTCACAATAGGACGAAACATATGTCTAGTGCTCCTCGGTTTTCCATGGTACTCCAACTGAGGTGAATCTGTAACAAATCCCGTTCAGGAATCCGAATAATTCTCCATAAAACTCGCTTTATAAAGTTTAATTTTACAACTAATAATCTATAATAAATTTATGACAAATTAAATGTAAATCTAATATAGTCAACTATTATCTTTGTTCTAATGATACAATGTGTAGCAATTATAACTAAGGATTATCATTATACATTGATATTATAAAGATTATGATTTCATATAGTCCCACAAAAAACAAAGAGGGTGCCGATGGATATATATATATATATATATATAAATTGTCCGGAAAAATCTTTTTGAAAGACAAACTTATACAGTAGATCTTTGCATGCTATATGGTGGTCATCCAGTTATACAGCTTCAGTTGAAAGATAAGTTGCCATGACCGACCAATTCTATGTGTATACACCAGTTTACCAGTTTCTATAGAACTGGGTAGGTAGATCATTTGTCAAGGCCTCCTTTTTACCTTATCCAAGAGCATACTCCAATATGGCTCAAATAAATTGCGTCTTCAATTCTGTTGCATGTAGTGAAATCAAGATATTCACTACTAAATTAACCCTTTGACGCTATCTACAAGGTCCGGTCAAAGATTGTAAAAAGTTCACATCTTAACCTACTTTACACTATAGAACATTTAGCCAACCAAAATTTAAACCCTGATCTGTGCTAACAGAACAGTCTATCAGATCTTTCTCGTTTCTTATATTAACTTCAGACTGACCATATTTTATTGTCGGATTCACTTCTTTTATTCAATGAACTATATTATCAGACGTAATGTCCCCAAATGCCCTGGTACGGCCGAGAGTGGGGAGAGTCTGCTCTCCCTCTCCAAATGCTCTCACACGGCCACATGCATACAACCACTGCCAGGGAAGTCCTACTCACTGCTTTCTCGAGGCGGGGTGTTGTTTACAAAATTGAGAGGGTGAGAAGCGAATGTTTGGCTCCGGGTGTGACCCCCTAAACAACCACCTGCTACGATTTGGGCACCCGGACAGTATCCCAGCCCTCACACAAATCGAATGATTTATGTGGAGCATATCTATTTGGTGCCTCCTTGTACTAATGTTTATGTGTTCAAATGAATAATATTTAAAAAAAACCACTTAGAACTCATGACTTTCGTTCATATTATATGGCCTTTACTCCAACTTTTCGGTCATGAACACAGTGTTTATCTTAATGAATATGCCTCAAGTGTTAGAAATTTTAACCCCTATCCTATAACTAATCCCATAGAACTTTTTCGTCAATTCTTGACCAAAACTCACATGCTTAATACTTTAATCAACACAGTCTTAACTCAAAAATAGGGGTTTAAATTATCACACTGTTCATATACTAACTGAAATGTGATAAGTCTTTGCTGATATATGTGCATCAATGTAGTTATTATGATACAAGTTTATATGGAATACATGAAGTCTGGTTATTAGTGGAATTTAAGACGCGCGTTTCATTCTGTATGAGACTCATCAGCTGGATGTACCAGACTCTTCTAAGAGTTGAAATTCACCTCAACACTCAAACCCACTAGCGTTCGCTTCAAATGTTAGCGTGTTAACCAGATAGCCACTTTATTTTTGCAGCTTGTATAAACTTCACTCTAGTTTTCAATAGTTTGGACTATCGTGATGTTAACATATAGATTGAAATTTAAGTGACTATCTGGATTCAGTAGCTAAGTGGATAACGTGATGGTGTTTGAATCCAACACTAGTGAGTTTGAGTCCTGAAGTGAATATCAACTCTGAGATGCAAGTGCATTCAGCTGACGAGTCTCAAATAGGATGAAACACGCGTCTTGAATTTCACTGCTAGACACATTTTATATATTCTATGTAAACATACAATTTGTTTATAGAGTATATGAAAGTAAAGTCAAAAAGGATTTCTTCAGTGAATGTACTTTTTGCTTTATATTTAAATACATCAGCAATGATGATTTGAACATTTGAGCACAAAATATTGTCAGAACTTATACTGGACCGAAAATTAATGAATACAGTAACAATTTGAATTTAATTTGTACGGATATTTACCTGGTAAATCTGCTATACTTATCTTACGATGATCTGAGTATATGCATTTGGCAACTTGTGGTTTGATTGTAGTGAATGGATAACTGGCAATTTTTGCAGGTGCACCAGATAAAGCTTTTAATAAACTGGATTTACCAGCGTTAGGAAATCCAATCAAACTGTAATCAGCCATAAGCTATATTGAAAGAGGAATCAATTATTAAATGTGATAATATAATGTTGAAGATAACTAACTTATAATAGAGAGTTCACCTAAGGGAGTTGTAAAACCCTGATTGCAAACCAATGGTGTACATGGGCTCCAGTATCTTGAAGGAACAAATGGTGTATGAACCAATTGTTGGTCACCGACTGCCATGCGAATGCATCTACTAACGTTGCTGCACTGCATCATGGATTGAACCTTTAAGCCGAAGGCTCCGCGTGTGGCCCCCTAACAAAACCACCTGCTTCGGTTTGAGCACCCGGGAAGTATCCAAGCCCTCACACAAATCGAATGATTTATGTGGCGCATATCTATTTGGTGCCTCCTTGTACAAATGTTTATGTGTTTAAATAAATAAACAACTTATTAATGAGTAGCTGAACATAATATTCGACTTTTTTTAAAAACTAAACCTACCTTAAATTTACGGTTCTAGATTAGTCAAAACATGAATAACCTTTGTTGAATCGACAAAAACTGACTTAAACCTAAGCAAGATAAATATTTAGCTTTACAATATAACAGAATCAATTAACAGAAGTAAACAGTTGGCTTAATTTTATTTTTAAACCCAAAATCGACTATGAATTGAATGAGTACCAACTGTGTATTCTCCCCTGGTTTCATAACAAAAAGATCTTGTTCAGTAAGAATAATTGGATGTCAGTTATCGCTGACAATTTATTCTATGATTCTGAACACAATTGAGTTTATGTTGATTATTGAAGGTTGGGATAACATTTAATGAGTGGTTGGATTGATTTTTATCAAAAGATAATAAATTATCACCTTTAAGTCTAAGACGATACTGTGAGCTTGACCCGGTGAGCCAATATACCCATTTTGGTGAAATCCACCTATACCACCTTGTGCTACTAGTAATTTTTGACCGACTTGATCCAAATTCCCAAGTATTCGTTGTTCTGATCCATTAGATGATGATGTTCCTTGACCTCCAAATAATACAGTTATTCCAGCAGGAACACGAATAGTCAAGTCTTCACCATCTAGACCAGCAACTAAACCACGACGTTTACTTGCCTCTGTTCCATGTCCAGCCTATAAATGTACAAACAGATAAATGATTAGATGAAAGTTTCATATTAATTAAGGGCAAATTTAACCAGAAACAAGTCATACATGAACATCATATTACTAAAGGAAAGAACATTAACTATTAACCATAAAGTGTATTTAGTTACAAATTATTATCTGATGTTTTTCTTATGATTGTAGAAGTTCTGTGATATTTGTTTCATACACGAACAATAGAACCCTGGGGCTTCCGGAAAAAAAGAACTAAAGTTGTCTCGTATACTTCAGATCAAACAATAATGTTGTAGATTTAAACAATAAATAATCCATGTGGTTTCCTACTATATTTTCTTTTGGGATAAGTTAGTGAACAAAGAGCGACTAAATTTTCTGAAAGTTGAAAGGTGGTCAAATATAACAGTCTTTCCGATACTATGAACTTAGTTGTGTCAGAATTGTGTGTACTAAAGGAATAAATAGGTAACATAACTATGAGTCAAGAACATTTGAAAAGTAATTTAACTTGAAAAAATACAAGTAACAATCAATTGTATAAAAAAGTTTGATTGGTAATTCCTATTTGTTTTGTGAGAAACTACGATGGGTATCTGATTCTAGGAATATAAATGATGTAAAGTCAATGATCAAGTAGAAGACCATACACTCGCTGTTGGATCGTATTTACTCGATTGTAGCTAAAGATATCAGCTGACTATTTTAACAAAAGTGGGTGGATTGAAATGCAGTAAGTCAAGAGTTTAAAAAACGTTGAAGAACGATTTAACAAGTTCAAACGACCCATTGTCAGTATTTTTAAATCTGTTGCCGGAAATTATGATCTGATATTGGTTTGTATGAAATAGCTAATAAAAAAAGTACACATACCTTACTTTTCACTAACAGTTTCTCGTATCACGGGTAAGGTTTAGAAAATATGGACCCGGTCTCATGCAACTGTTTCATGAACCCTAAGGTCAGGCTTTTAACTTGATAAGTCAGTTTCCGTTCTTAAATACTTAGGAAGAAGTTTTTTGCAGTGGGCGATCGCAAATTGTCAATGCCTTGTCCCATTTACAACGAAATCCCATTACAACTTTCTAACATTTACTCTAATAATAATAATAAATCATTAGAGTTTAAAGTGCAAAATAGTAATTTCAAAAATTTACCGATAATAATTAAATAAAAGTGCAGGAAAAACAACAACAACAACAAAACACAGAAACATACCCATTAAGGGAATTAGGGCCAAAGAAGGATGAGAGGTTGGACAAATCGTTTCTGCATGCAAAGTTCAGGCTTGAGTTTGTGGATTGCCAGTGCCTCTGCGGTGCATAAAATATTGATTCGAACCCCCTTCGATTCAGTTCCTTTGACTATGTAAACTATTTCAAACGAAGAGTCCTTTGGAGCGATGTGTCTACAGTTGATTAAGTGCTCCTGTATCGAACTCGTGATTGTTTTTCGTTGCCCTTTTAAGAGCCAAGCCGGATAATGTTCCGAGATGCGTTTGGATAATGATCGCTTTGTGCGGCCTATGTAGCATGCCCCACATGACCAAGTAAACTTATATATACACATTGAAGTGGCCCAAAGCGGAAGTTTGTCCTTAACACACCCCAGAATGGTAGGTCGGCTAGAGAAAATGATTCGGAGCTTAGCTGCGTGGAATGTTTTATTCAATGATTTCGAAATCCGTTTATTTAGGATTTCGGCAGCCGTGTCTCCTTTAAATTCCATATTCATAAATAGCGTTTTTTTCTCTACTGTCAATGCTTTGTCATGAGGTCTAGGTGCCAAGTTTCTATCAATGAATCTCGGTGGATAACCATTTTTGATGAGGGTCTGTCGAAGATGAAATAGTTCCCCATCTATTGTGTCATTGCAATAAATTCGCTTGATCCTTGAGGATAAAGAATGAATTAAGTTCCTTGTTCTACTTAATGAAACCCAACTATGGAAGTTCGTGTATTGTCCATTCCAAGTAGGTTTTCTATATATCGATCTCTGTAAAAAACTGTCAGGCAATCTTTTTAAACGGATATCAAGAAAATGAAATTCATGGTTTGTCTCTGCTTCTAGGGTAAATTGGATTGATGGGTGACAGTTATTGAAAATATTCAAGATATCATTGAGGTCACTATCTTCTTCGCAAATAATGAAAGTGTCATCCATATATCTCTTATACAAATGAAACCTCTCAATTATTGGTCGAAGTGCCGATTTTTCTAGATTAGCCGTGAATCAATCAGCCAGGCGAGGACCCAATGGAGAGCCCATTGCAACTCCATCTATTTGTCTATAGAAAGCATCATTAAATCTAAATTGCACGTTGAGCGTACATCGCAGAAGTAGTTCTTTAAGGTATTGTTTCGGGATACGCATATCAAGATTATTGTTTTCAATATAGTCACATAAAAAGCAAATGGTTTCTGTGAGGGGAACATTTGTAAAAAGAGAAGTGACATCTAATGAGAACATTTTCTTACCGGTTACGTTGATATTTCTAATTGAGTCGACAAAGTCAAAGGAATCAAAAGAATTGTATTTTTTGATATGATTTTTAACAGGTTGTAGAATGTCAACTAACCATTTAGCGATCAAGTGATAAGGAGAATTGTTCATATCAACTATAGGACGTAGTGGGACATTATTCTTATGAACGTTTGGCAGTCCATAGAGGTCACAATTGATAATAGCCTCATCTTCCATTTTCTTTAAAATTTTAATTAGCATCTGTTCAGTTTTTTCAGTTGTGTCTTTTTGAACGGTCTCAATAGAGAATTTAACAGGATCAGATAATATCGAAGATATTTTGGTAACATAGTCAAGACAATCCATAAGGACAATTCCTGCACCGTTGTCTGGGCGACATAACACTAAGTCCTGATTTCTCCGAAGATCAGATAATTGAGATTTATGTTCTTTTGTAAGTAATCGGCTAATTGTAGGTGTTTTGTTTACATACTGATTACAACAATCCACAAGAGTTGTTTTAAAATGCTCAAAATCTTTATTAGATACTGGAATAAGGTCATTTGTCTGTCGAATGAGGCTTTCAAACTAGATTTTAGCGTTGAGTTCAATAATGTTAGTAGACGTACTATAAAATTTAGGACCAAGGGATAATGCTTGTAGCTGAATAGTCGATAGTGTTATACTTGAGTAATTGAAAACATATTTCTCTGGAGATTCGGGAAAAGAAGCTTGCGTCTCGGTCCGCTTTAAACTTTTCATTTATTTCAAGATCACATCTTCAGTACGATTTTTACTAACAATATCAATGTAATCTTTGAATTTGAAACGTTGATCTTCTGACAGATCAAATAATGTATGTGAACGTAATGAGATATTTCGTTCCAATTCTGGTATTCTAGACTTAATTTCATCGACATAATTGAGAGTAAGACGTTTCAAAGAGCGATGATTTGGGTGAATATGGTTACGGGGTAAAGATTTGAAAAATGGTTTCGGATATTCGCCTTTGACTATACAGCTTCTCAGGAAATTGATTCTAGTATTCGCTATAGCAAGCTTGACAGAATAACTAAGAAACCCATTGAGTTCCTTCACTGTCACAGGATCCTTGCAACTCTTCGGATAATTAAAATAACCCATAATGCCGTAACCATATTCACCCAAATCATCGCTCTTTGAAACGTCTTACTCTCAATTATGTCGATGAAATTAAGTCTAGAATACCAGAATTGGAACGAAATATCTCATTACGTTCACATACATTATTTGATCTGTCAGAAGATCAACGTTTCAAATTCAAAGATTACATTGATATTGTTAGTAAAAATCGTACTGAAGATGTGATCTTGAAATAAATGAAAAGTTTAAAACAGACCGAGACGCAAGCTTCTTTTCCCGAATCTCCAGAGAAATATGCTTCCAATTACTCAAGTATAACACTATCGACTATTCAGCTACAAGCATTATCCCTTGGTCCTAAATTTTATAGTACGTCTACTAACATTATTGAACTCAACGCTAAAATCTAGTTTGAAAGCCTCATTCGACAGACAAATGACCTTATTCCAGTATCTAATAAAGATTTTGAGCATTTTAAAACAACTCTTGTGGATTGTTGTAATCAGTATGTAAACAAAACACCTACAATTAGCCGATTACTTACAAAAGAACATAAATCTCAATTATCTGATCTTCGGAGAAATCAGGACTTAGTGTTATGTCGTCCAGACAAGGGTACAGGAATTGTCCTTGTGGATTGTCTTGACTATGTTACCAAAATATCTTCGATATTATCTGATCCTGTTAAATTCTCTATTGAGACCGTTCAAAAAGACACAACTGAAAAAACTGAACAGATGCTAATTAAAATTTTAAAGAAAATGGAAGATGAGGCTATTATCAATTGTGACCTCTATGGACTCTCAAACGTTCATAAGAATAATGTCCCACTACGTCCTATAGTTGATATGAACAACTCTCCTTATCACTTGATCGCTAAATGGTTAGTTAACATTCTACAACCTGTTAAAAATCATATCAAAAAATACAATTCTTTTGATTCATTTGACTTTGTCGACTCAATTAGAAATATCAACGTAACCGGTAAGAAAATGTTCTCATTAGATGTCACTTCTCTTTTTACAAATGTTCCCCTCACAGAAACCATTTGCTTTTTATGTGACTATATTGAAAACAATAATCTTGATATGCGTATCCCGAAACAATACCTTAAAGAACTACTTCTGCGATGTACGCTCAACGTGCAATTTAGATTTAATGATGCTTTCTATAGACAAATAGATGGAGTTGCAATGGATTCTCCATTGGGTCCTCGCCTGGCTGATTGATTCACGGCTAATCTAGAAAAATCGGCACTTCGACCAATAATTGAGAGGTTTCATTTATATAAAAGATATATGGATGACACTTTCATTATTTGCGAAGAAGATAGTGACCTCAATGATATCTTGAATATTTTCAATAACTATCACCCATCAATCCAATTTACCCTAGAAGCAGAGACAAACCATGAATTTCATTTTCTTGATATCCGTTTAAAAAGATTGCCTGACAGTTTTTTACAGAGATCGATATATAGAAAACCTACTTGGAATGGACAATACACGAACTTCCATAGTTGGGTTCCATTAAGTAGGACAAGGAACTTAATTTATTCTTTATCCTCGAGGATCAAGCGAATTTATTGCAATGACACAATAGATGGGGAACTATTTCATCTTCGACAGACCCTCATCAAAAATGGTTATCCACCGAGATTCATTGATAGAAACTTGGCACCTAGACCTCATGACAAAGCATTGACAGTAGAGAAAAAAACGCTATTTATGAATATGGAATTTAAAGGAGACACGGCTGCCGAAATCCTAAATAAACGGATTTCGAAATCATTGAATAAAACATTCCACGCAGCTAAGCTCCGAATCATTTTCTCTAGCCGACCTACCATTCTGGGGTGTGTTAAGGACAAACTTCCGCTTTGGGCCACTTCAATGTGTATATATAAGTTTACTTGGTCATGTGGGGCATGCTACATAGGCCGCACAAAGCGATCATTATCCAAACGCATCTCGGAACATTATCCGGCTTGGCTCTTAAAAGGGCAACGAAAAACAATCACGAGTTCGATACAGGAGCACTTAATCAACTGTAGACACATCGCTCCAAAGGACTCTTCGTTTGAAATAGTTTACATAGTCAAAGGAACTGAATCGAAGGGGGTTCGAATCAATATTTTATGCACCGCAGAGGCACTGGCAATCCACAAACTCAAGCCTGAACTTTGCATGCAGAAACGATTTGTCCAACCTCTCATCCTTCTTTGGCCCTAATTCCCTTAATGGGTATGTTTCTGTGTTTTGTTGTTGTTGTTGTTTTTCCTGCACTTTTATTTAATTATTATCGGTACGTTTTTTAAATTACATCTATTTTAATTTCGTTTTCAATCTTTTTGTTATGGTTTAATCGTTCTCACAATTTACCACTTGTATGAACACTTGGCATTTGTAGATGTGTTACAAGAATGACAAAATAGATGTAACTACTGACTTCAAATACATGAATCTCTCCATAGTTTGAGATCAAATTATTGTTTTATTCTTTTCAAAAGAATGAAACTTACGAATTTTACACTGAACAGCAACTGCTACCACACTTCAATCACTGAATAAAAAGTAGCGAGTTGATCACATCGGAAGTAATACATACGAATCCCTGTCTTAATTGCATTTAATTTTAAGAATAAATAGAACAACGTGAATAAATAGAATGGCTCACACACTAATCTTATTCAGACCTATGATACGAAGAGTGATTATGATAATAGATGTTTGCTTGGACATCAATATACAGACCATGGTTTATACCTATAACCTAATTGGTTGAAATTTGAGGGATTCAACTAAATAGTAACAAACAGACATGCATAGACAAGAACAAAAAGTATCGGAACTTCTCAACCAATCGTCATACATTTAAAACAACGGAGGCCAATTAAATCTTGGGAAGGAAAAATGAGTTTCAAGAGAAGATAAAAATAACAAATTCAAATCTCAGCACATCCATATCGATAACAATGTATCTTGTGGATGAAAATATCAGCGATTTTTAGTGACTAAGGTACTCAGCTTTCAACCAGCTTCGAACCCTATCCCACCTTCCTTTGGGTTTTGGGAGCCTGAAAGTACTACTAACAAGCACATACAATGTGGCTTAAAAATGATTACATAAACTGCTACTTGATAAATAAATAAAATCGATCGACTAACAAATCAGTAATAAAAACTGATAAAATTTAACTAAATTTAACAGGAAAATGTTGTATTAAAACTACCATGAAACGTTTCGTCGGGTTAGCCATAAACAGATTTTGGAGTGTTTGATTTCCATCGGCTTCTAGAAATACACTCCCACCATTCCCTCCCCGGCCTTTAATTGGTGGACTACCTGCAGCCCCACTACCAGCTCTGACAAAAATACGAAGTTTGTCGATGAAACCCTTGGACATGACACTGCTGTGAACAGAAATAACCAATAATTGGTTGAAATAGCATTATTAAGTGGTAAAATATCGAAAAAAGCTGTCGCCGGTCTATAAATAAAAGCAGACGCTTATCCTATTTGACTTGAATACTGCATGAGGAATTAAAGTGTCTAGCGTAAGTTGGGAAATATAAAATCAGCTTATTATGTTCGTGAACAGATTTCGTCGATTAGATGCCTTGTTCATATTGTTGCGATAACGAGGTATGGAAACTTGGACCGACGCATATATGTGCCTGGTCCTACGACTGATGCTCATCACGAATAAGTTTATAACGATAAGTCCCAAGTCTAATTATTATAACGCTCATTGTGGAAGAATACTGAGAATGTTACTGAAAGACGCGTTTGGTTTCAATGGGGAGCTTCCTTCGATTAAAATTAAGAACTGTTCCACCAATACTCAATTTTAGTTTTATTTTCCGAAAATAATCATGCGCATTTAGTTTTAGAGAATAGTCACGTATCGTTACTTATACCGTCAGAGAAGGTATATCACCAAAACTCACTAGTGAATGGTTACTTATCATTCTAAAGACCAACCATACCAAGTAAAGTCAAGTGAGAAAGAAACGTTGAATTAGTAACACAGGTGCCAAGAGCTTTAGGTATTAGTTATGCAATAGTTTGAAAGGTGATGGGTAAGGTAGCTCAGAAATAAAGGAAGGATAACTGCGCTTCAGATGAACATAAAACTAACAACTGATAATCACAACTTGGGGAGCCAAGAGGATTCAACTATGGTAAAATAATGGGTTAGGTATCCTATTTTAAAACTTGAGGAACAATTCATTAATGGTCATCGTTAAACTCCGCTCAACTATTGTTGATTATCTTTTCCGTGGATATCCATCTAAACACCAAGTAGAGTCTAACATACTTATTTTCCTGAATAGCGTTGAACGTAATCAGTACACTGATAGACTTAATCTAGAACAGGAGGTGTATGCATACATACAATATCTGTTCTTGAATGGGAACTTATACACTAGCACTTGCAAAAATAATGATACCCATGGAAAACCTAGATTTACTTGTAAAGAGTTAACATACATTATAACTAAAGGTTGTCGATTAGAGTTATTTCACTAATCTATTAGTGTAAAAAACTTATGTAGTGATGTAGACCATTTGAGGACGTTTAAACAACAACATGAGAGAACAACTATCATTATTATATTATTTAGAAAGCCCTACCAGTTTTTGTGCGATTTTGGTGTTGGCATAGTTAAACGTTATGTCTAGTTGTTCTGTCATGTTTGATGTTTATAAAAAATGTCATAAAAACCAAACTTTGTTAATGGTTAACACAAAACAACGTATTGAATAACGACTGAGCGGTAAGATTTTAGGATGTACGCGTCACTCTGTAAAGCGAAGCAACGCTAAACCGGATCACTCGTGGGGCCAACCAAAATTTCAATAGAACCAATGCGATGATTGGCCTTGATGATTTACACATTGCGCTGTCTGTAATTTGTCCAATATCTGAAATTCTTTATTCCAAGCTTGCATGAACCAACAGAGTTCTGTGGAATCGCTTTTGGTTGTTTCGTTTGGCCACTCGACCGCACTTGCTGTAGATAGTTTGGTAATTGTTTGTTGGTTTGTATATCCTGTAATCTGAGTAGATACGTTTGTATCAGATCGTCAAGGATTCTGGATACTAGGAACAATCATACTACCTGGCGAAAGGCTGACTGGTTCTAAGAAAGAGTTGTTGATAACAATTGCATATTTAAATATGGGTATTTTATAAATATGTTGTATGGTTTGAACGATCCGATGTATTGTTTATTCAAACCCCGTAAGGTTGAGTACTAGTCTCAGTTCGGAAAGGACATAAGGCAAGGTGGCCGATGTTAATCCTGGCAATGGTGATCTCCCAGTTGGTTCAACTTTCTTTTGAAAGCTTCAAAAGACGAAGCTTCAATCGCGTGTTAAGTTAATGGATTTCACTCGTTGATAATTCGATGGGAAAGTAAACATTTTTGTAGTGTCCTCATAAATGCTCTGTTTTGAAAGATTGGAAAATTGAAGGCGTATCAAATGTAGAGTTGTCACCAAATAATGTAAAAACTGTGATCAAGTCGCCTCTGGTTCATATACATGATAATGTAAATAAGTTTAATTTAGCCAGCCGACCATCATACTCGAGTTTCGCTGAACCGGGATCAGCTTACATGAAGTTCTCTAAGATTAAACATCAACCATTTTGTGGCTAAGCGTTGGAACCATCAAGCAAGAACTCATTCACCTTACAATCTGTACTGCGGAAGGCCTAACCGATCATCAGCTCTTTTCTTTTCCATTTCAAGCGGAAACTAACTAAATCACACGTCCCACTTACATGGGATGTGTTATAATTAGCGGTGAATGAGGTAGTTTTTCTTTTGATTATAGCTACTCATCCCTTATGCTTCTGAATGCTGGCGGCTTTTACTGATGTGAAACCTCCAAAACCAAGTTCTCTATTGTTTAATGACTGTATCAGCTAAGTCTTCGTGACTGCGACTACATCCTGGTTGCTAAAGTACATTTGTACGCCTGGTTTCGATTGCTTGCCGGGCAAAATCCACAGATTTGTGTGTTAGATCCAAGGATCAACTAAATGACTTTGTGCTGCACGCAAAGTGACTTCGACAACACTCTCTTCCAGAGCCTCACCATCCGAAAATTTATAATTTTTGGGTCCTTCTCGCCAGCATCCATGTTTAGTTTGGGTTGGTTTTGAGCTCCTAGTCTTTTTGTACGACCCACGGATGATAAGTCTTTACACACAAATGCACCAAATCTGAAGCTACTCATGCCTTTCTACAGGGACGGAAGCCAGTGCTCCCATCCAGAAGATTTATACCTTATGAGCTCCTCACAGTAGTTGAACAAGAACTGGATTGACTCCTAAGTTTAGGTGTTATCAAGCCAGTTAAATTGTATTAACATTGGTTGCTAACCACAAGATCCTTGAAGCCGAAGACATGTACACTCAACATGTAACACTAAGAGGTCAAAAATGACGAACGCGGGAGCGTAGAGTCGAAATAGAATGGCTTGGATGGGCAGACGTATTCACTGTGTAGTTCATACTAAATATATTATTTTACCCCAGCACAAACATGTTCTTCGTAAGTCCCAACCATCATTGTGCTAAGTGTTTCTACTGAACGAGTGGGTAAAGACAATGATGTGACTTCCATACAAGATCTCATAGATTAGGACCACTTTTTCAGTAGCCAAGATAAGTGTACTAATATCGAACTAGGCGATAATCCTTCAAAATCTCAGAATGGGCTGCAACGACAGTGATAGTTAATAAACATCACTGGCTTTCGTTTGCATTGAATTAGATGCCATAACACTGGTTAGCCATCCTTTTTTGATTATACGAAAAGTACTGTCCTAGCAGCCATAGTTACTGATTCCTGGTTTTACTCGGTTTAAATAGGGTGGGTGAACATCGCTTAGGCATCATAAGACCATACTGAATGGTGAATTTTTAAAGTAATTTAACTGCTATATTGCAGCGTTTACAAAGCTGTTGTAAATCAGACCTGTTGTTTTACTAGCATCATGTCGAACCCACCATTTGTTTACAGCTTGGTATTGCACTGATTAATATATTTTTGTGAATGAAAATAAACTGAAGTCAATTAATTCTGGTCTGCATTAATTCGGTGCGGTACAATGTTTGTGAACATTATGTTTTGTTTTGTCGTTTTTATACCGAAATTCACCTTTACTTTCGAGGATACTTATCTACATGACAGCCAACAATGATATATCGATCGTATTTAGTAAATGGATTATTAACATTGTTAGTGTTTCAGTCTTTTCATTCAGCTGATGATCCTCTGTTGCAGCTCTTAGGTCTAAGATGCTTTCTCATTGATCATTTCATGTTTAAAGACTTAAGTTACTTTCAGGCCGCATCTGTATTTATAAAAGACATAAAAAACACGAGTTTGGAGTCCTCCATTTAAGCTGTGTTCTGATATTCCTTACGAATTATCGGGGATGAAGTACTAATAGAAGACGCTTTCCGTCTTTAACAAACAAGTCTCGCACCCTGTATGTATGATAACATGAATCGATAACATCAACAGTTAAATTACTTGTACCCACACATATTGCTACCTGGGGTTCTGATTTGTTTTTTGAGAACACAAAAGTGTGCATTGCCTAGCGAGTTAGCTGATTTATTATTCAATACCATGGGAAAAACGTGAAAATAAACATGGCAAGTGATAACTTTCAAATCCGTACAAAACTTGATAAATATTGCTCAACGTCTAATAAAGGAATCCATACCTAAGACTTAACATTGTCCTATATATACATATATATAGATTGCTTAAAATTTTTGACAACATAAAGTGAACTAGAAATCCCCTATCCATTGTTCGAAATAAATCTGAGGTTTTACTCTTTCAACTAAATTATATCACAAATATGCAAAGTTTCATATAAGAACTGATATTACATCCTTTCTTTTAAGTGTAATATTTAAAGTTGTAAGTATTTATTTAAACTGAACTACATTTGTAATTTGGTTTACATAATGTTGTTTTAGTCATCTATTTTTGGTTTAACTTACAATTGGGGAATTGTGGGCTTTGTTCAGTAACGAAATATACTGGAATATAATTGGTAATGAGATTGTAGATGTCAAGTCCGTTTTACATTCTCTGTCCCTATTCATTTCTCTTCGACTCTTTTCAATATTGTTTTATATTATTTATTAATATTCAGTAAGTAGTTGTAACCCTAGCAACGCAAGTTTGTCGTGTAATTATTCTGAAGTAGTTACATATGCTTATAACACTTATTGCATTTATCATTATAATCACTTTATCTTAATCATGGTAGCAGTTGTTAACAATTTTATGCAGTCGTTTGATCCTTGTTTAAACGTAACATTTTCCATATTGCTTGCTTTTAGTTTGATTCTTGCTTGGTGATAAACCGTTAAACAGTTTAGGCACAAAGAACGGTTGTCAATTTCCACTATCGGAGCCTTTTTTTTACTTCACACAAAAAGAAGCGGTAAACGCCATAGATACCTCACAAGTTGAGATTTGTAACTAGTTTTTTGTATATTATTCAATAAAGACAAATTGTTGCCTTGTGAACATTGACTAAGCACAAATCTCAATTAGGTGATTTAAACACTTCGATGAATGTAACAGCAGATAACAATCCAATAACATAGTGACTTACAATTTTATCTGTTTTACTTAATCAAACTAACTGATAAAGATATTGAAAGATATATGATTAAAACAAGATAGTAGTAAATCGAGGCATATATCTAATTTTAGTACATTTTAGTATCCATTTTCAACCAACACATATTGAAGGCCTGTATACTCCATGGTGTCGAAACCCGGGTCAGCCAATTAGCTACAACGTAGGACCAGGTTGCCATACCTCATTAACACAACAAGATGAACACCGGATTCATAAAAGTAGTTAATTCAATGGTGGTAATATATAAAAGAATGGTTGCAATAAGGATATAGTACAGGAAGAAAGAATTAGGTGGTCAAAAGAAAGATATGAAGCGATTTTAATCTCAGTTTAAAGGAAGACAAAGAGTGTATACACCTACGCCATTGTGATCGATTCCGAGCCATGTCACCAAGAGTCTCCAATCATTGGTTACGATAGTCATGTGGACCCTAACCAAGTAGTCTACATCTACCAACATGGTTCAGACTAGAAGTTAGTGACTTCAGTGACTGATGCCACATTTTGGTTTGGCAGCCCTTAACTTTCTTCTAACCATCTCCAACACCGGTTAGCATTGCACGTCGTGGTAATCGGTGTTCAAGCATACGTGGCCGGGGTCAACAGGCCATAAGTAAGTCAATAAGTAAACAAAACTTAATCTTCTTTTTTTTTTAAAAAAAAACACAACACTTCAATGTTATTTTAGAATATACATAAATATAAAGAAAGAGAAAACAAACAAACAAAGTGATTAGAAAAATAACTGAATTGTAACAAATTATCCCTAGTACAACTTTCAACTATACACAAATTGGGGAAAAAAAGTGTGTGTGTGTGTGTACAAATGATTTGTTCATTAAGAAATTAAAGCAAACTATTCAATTGATAGGAAGACAGGGGAATATATATATATATATAAGAACAAACGTAGTTTGCAATGTAAACGTAGGGTATAAGCAACAAGAATATCTGTATTTTATTGTAATCTATTGTGTTGAATTGTTGAAGTTGTTGATGGTAAAAGAAAAATCCCTGAATTGATAAAATCATAATTTAAGAAATTTGAAGTGTTTATTAAATGATTAGAGTTTAGTAAATTAGTTGTATGAATAGGCACTATTGGTGATGATAATGATGATGAAGTTATGCAATTGACATTGTTTGTATTAGTTGATGGTATTAAACAAGCTGCACCTATTATATATTTTTGTGATCTTAAACTACCATTTGGACAATAATGTACT